TTCGCGGGGTAACTCTTACTCCCTACCTTACCCCAGCCTGCGGCTTTCAGCTGGGATAAAATTCCAAATCAGGCTCAAGCCCGCCCCCGCCCGGCCACGGCCCGGCTGACCCCTGGTCTCCGCAGACGAGCGCCCCTATAAGTGTGCCAAGTGCGGGAAGAGCTTCCGGGAGTCCGGCGCCCTGACCCGGCACCTCAAGTCCCTCACGCCGTGCACAGAGAAGATCCGCTTCGGCATGAGCAAGGACGTGGTGGTGGTGGGCGAAGAGGACGCGCCCGCAGGTCAGGCCCGCCCGCCCGCCTGCCCACCCGCCTGCCCACCCGCCTGCCCGGCGTCCCGGCCGCCTCACTCTGGACTCTGCCTTACAGGGCCGGGCGCCACCACGGTGGGAACGGTCACGTCGCCGTCCGTGACGGGTGAGCCCCTGGGCACGCCGCCAGTGATCCACCTGGTGACGGATGCCAAGGGCACCGTCCTCCACGAAGTCCACGTCCAGATGCAGGAGCTGCCCCTGGGCGAGAAGGGCCTGGCGGCGGAGGTGGGTGGGCGGCTGCCCCGGGCGAGAAGGGCCTGGCCGCGGGGTGGGCAGGTGGGTGGGCGCTGCCCCGGGCGAGAAGGGCCTGGCCGGCAGCTCCCGTGGGGACGGCTGCCCACTCGAGCTATCAGGCTGCGGGGCGCGGGAGGTGGGCGGGGGCTGCCGGCCACCTTGGCAGGCGTGAGGGCAGCGGCAGCAGGCCCGCGGCCCGGAGGGGACTTCGGGTGGGGCGCTGTGTCCGCGGGGTGGGCGGGCCTGCCCTGTCCTAGGGTCCTGGCTGCCCACCAGCTCCCGCCCGCCTCCCACAGTCCCCGGGCCCCGAGGCGCTGCCCTGTCCTGGCGAGGCCGGCCGCGAGAACCTGCTGCGCCAGGCCATGCAGAACTCTGGCATCGCCCTGGAGCCCGGCCCCCCTGCCCGGGCTGACGGCCAGCCCCCTGCGCCGCCGCTGCTGGGCGTGGAGCAGGTAGGCGCAGGACGGCGCTCCAGGGGGCGGCTCCGAGTTCAGGCGGGGCGCCCCTTTCAGGAAGGGGGGCAGGAGCCGAGGCTGGCTGGGTGCTGAAGGCGGCCGTGGCTGCAGGTGGCCCCCGAGGTGTCAGCTGCGCCCCGGACCCACCCGTGCCCCCAGTGCAGCGAGACTTTCCCCACGGCAGCCACCCTGGAGGCCCACAAGAAGGGCCACGCAGGTGGGTGTGGGGGGTACCTGGCAGGGCCGTGGCGGGCGGCGGGCGGGCGGGC